GGCTCGCGCGGGTGGTTCGGGTAGAACCTAAATAAATTAGGTGTGTCGTAAACTTCAGCAGGATTTTGGCCTGTGAATAAGGCTAGGCAGTTGATTATAGTGCCTATGTTTCGTGGGGATTGTTTTTCCTTACAAGGAAACTGTAAGGTGCTGCTTGCAGCTGCTTCATACATTCTGCTGGAATAGGTACGTGAGTGTATGGTGAAAGGGGAGAGAAGGAACATCCTCCCAGTCTTTTCACAGAAGCTCCAGGTTTGGCAATGCATTGCCCCCCTCCCAAAGGGCGCTGGGAGAAGGCGCAGCAGAGGCAAAGTGCCACTCCCAACCTATAATCTGTGTAATTCTCCTCTAACTGGAGGACTGTGCCAAATCCTGCCGGTCACAATCTGACCTGGTGCCACAAAATCTAGATAAACATGCACTGAAAAAGACATCGTAGAACTGTTAACACTCCAGGCCGAAAATGAACTACAGTACATGTAATTGATGACACTGATTTTACTTATTGACCCACTAAACCAGTTTCTCCCTTTTAAGTTGTCTGTTCTACCTCATGTATAGCAACACTTGCTCTGTTCCTCCCTGCCCCATGGTGAGTCTTCAGACTTAGACATGCACTGTATACACAAAACAGTTACAATTAAAAGACACGACACTATCTTCAGCTACTTTGTGTCTCTCTCATTTTATTTAATAGATCAATTGGAAATGTGGAACTTCAGTTCTCCTATCATACAGAAGTAACTGAAACTGAGACTGAAAAACTATTTTTCTGAGTGCAAATCCCAGAATACCCGAACTATGTGTCCCCTGACCACAGCATATTCTAGGATTTGTAATCCAAAACTAACATTCCCACTCTTCAGGGGTAACAGTTCTCAATACCATAAACCATTTCCAACAGCCTTATCTAGCTCTCCTATAAAAGGCCCTAAAATACCCCTGAACTATATCCGCTTTTTTTCATCTATACCATCCTCCATAAGGCATTTTTTCTAATGTTTACCTACTTTATTTATCCACAAGCCCATTTTAATTATAAGCACATTATCAATGATTATGGATCCATGGACTCTGATGCGCTTGTGATAAGTACACGAGCATAGGTTCTCCTATGCGGGGTATAAATTTAATAAATAAATAAAATAAATATTTTATTCTACAGAATGGAGAGAATAAGTCCTACAAGCTTAATGAAAATACATGCAGAGAGAAATTTCATCCAGTGCTGAAGTGAAATTGATATGGGCTTTTTGCTAACGTGCCACAATACTGCTTCCCATGAATGACAGAGTTACTGGATGACAGCAACTGCCCCACCTCTTTCTCTCACATCCACAGCATTAATTTAATTCCTGTACAGTGTAGGTTTTGCTGTTAGTTATATAAAATTCAAGGCAAAAGAAGAAACGAACTAGATCAAAGTTTCTTAGTGGCATAAACTGGCCCCAGGTCAATGTAAGATAGGTATTAGCCGTGGTGATTTTACCACAAAACCTATTTTCTAATCTCCTCAAATCACATGATTTGTGATTCTAAAATAGGCTAAAATTCATCTTTATTTCTAAAAGAAGGCAGTTCTTAATCTTGACAGATGGAGAAAAACTCTCCAGACATTTAAGGCTACAATCCTATTTTACTTCTAGCTAAACATACCTAAGATTGAACTGCATGGTTTACATTTTTGACTGTATACTGACTATACAGATCACTCAGGTGGTATTCACAGAGAACACCTTGCTAAACCACTTTGTGCCTGACACATCTTAATTCAGGAAACCTATATGCTACCCTGTCTCCATTTTTTCATATCACATGTCTGGACATTTGTTTTTCAATCACACAAAATGTACAGTACATAGTAAAAGAAGAATATTTTTTTTTCATGCCCCCTGTTGCAATCTCTCCTCTCTCTCTCAGTGCACAGAGAGAACACCAAAAACTGAATTTCTACATGCAATGAACCCTAATAATGCTTGGCTCTCTTGATTCTTTCTCCTTTGGGTACATCATACTTACATTGTTTCGTAAGTCTCGGGACATACACATTTGGTCTGGACAAAGCCTACTGACTCAGTGGATGTCGACTTTCCTATAAACCACTGAAGGCCCGGAACGAGAAAGCCAATGACCTCTATGAGGTCACCCTTGTAGAAGCTCAGCTCATCCCATCCTCTCCCTCTGTAATCCTCTGTGGCTGTGCACCTCCCTTGGCCTGAAAAAAAAAGGGGGGGGGGAGAACAGCCCTCACTTCAGCACATGGAACAATTGAACCATTCTTTCCTGGAAGGACAATAGCCAGGGCCAGAGAAGGGCAAACTGGAGTATGAAAACAAGGTCTCATTGTGTCCAATAACATTTTTCTTCTCTCCCGCAGCTTGGGCTTCACCTGAAACCACAACTTGTTTTTCTTAAGACGAAGCAGCTGGCTGCTCCACAGACAATTAAGCTTTCTGAGAGAAGGAAGAAGGCTGCCGGTTTCAGCTTGCAGGGTGAAAGTAACACGGGGCAGAAGGTAAAGCCAATGTTGCTTTCTCTTCTGGGCGGGGGGGAAGAACCACTAAAACGGATTGTCCTCCTCACCTGCTACTTTGGTATCATCTAACTGAACTGGACTCTCTGTGTTCCACATTGTGTGGTTCCCAGTCAATTAGGGATCATACAGTAATGATGCCATAACCATATGTAGCCAATCAGATTGAGCTACATGTTGGTGTCACTGAAAGTTACTGTGAGGGTAAGATTTGCCTGCATACAGTTTACACAGATGGACACAGTCAGTCACAAGCATGAGGAGAAATAAAGGCAAATCAAGGTAATGTCTTTCAAAGAATTGAGCAATCATAACTTTGGAGGAGCAACTAAGGAACCTTCCTCTGTTGCTTCTGGTTTCAGCCCTAATAGCAACTAATACTACAGAAGATGCAATTGTGATGTTATTCTGCAGAATCATTGTACAAACAACATGGTATACGTGTGCAAAGGAACCGGAATCTGGAATTTGGATGTGTGGCCTTGGGCAAACTGCACACTCTCAGGGGGACCCCAGAAGAAGGGAATGGTAAGCCACATCTGAGTATTCTCTACCTGGAAAAAACCCGGAAAGGGTTGCCATAAGTTAGAACTGACTTGACGTCACACCAGTCAGAGATTGGCATGACAATGAGGCTGAGTATGGATACACACATCCACAACCACATGCATATACATGCACACACATGTATGCCTCCCCACTCCATGTCCTCATCCCCTCCACTCAGATGCATATGAGCTTGCACGAGCATTAAGATCACCAGGGGAGACCTTTCTCAATGCATATGAGCTTGCACGAGCATTAAGACCACCAGGGGAGACCTTTCTCTCAGTCTCACCACCCTCATAGGCGCACTTGGTAGGGACACGGGAGAGGGTCTTCTCTGTCTCTGCTCCCAGACTCTGGAATTCCCTCCCCACGGGAAATGCCCCATCTTTGCTGTTCTTCTGAAAGCAGGCAAAGACCTTCCTCTTCGGGAAGGCTTTTCATTAATGACTGGCAACCTGAGAGTGTTTTTTTCAAATTGGATTGTTGTGCTCTGTTGCTTTTAAATGATTTTTTTAACAATGATTTTATTTACCATTTGTAATATACTTGTTTAATTATTTTTTTAATATTTGTGTACTAACTGTTTTTAGTGTTTAAATATTGTCCTTTTAATGATATAAGCTGTTGTGTGTTCTTTTGATAAAGGCAGGGTTAAAATATTTTACATGAATAATAAATAATATACACACTTTCCCCCACACATGCTCACTCTCTCCTGATCCACCAGAATTTTGGCATGCAGAATGCAGAGGTCCAAATCCTCCTTCCCAAAGACATTTAAAGATGTACTTAAAACCAAGCATCATGTAGCAATGTAACATCAAGCGTCTGTAAGAATGCAGTCCTACATTTTTGAGGTTGTACCTGTTGAGCAGATGGGCAACTATTTAGTGAGCTGGGAGGAGTGTGTGACCGTTATGGTGAAAAAGATACAAAAGATTGACTGTCCTCAGGAATTTTCTAGCCCTGACCCTAGCCATCACTGGAAGTGATGAATGTAAGAAGGGACAGCTTGGACACTCACCCCATATAGAAGAAGACCTGCCAGAAACAGGTCATTGTAGCCCACAGGCCTTCATTTAATGCCCATACATTGAATGAAGAGACATGTGTCCCTTGGATCTGCCTTAAACAAGCCGACCTTAAGCTTAAGGTGCTCCCACGAGATTGCACTCACCAATCTGCCAAGAGTCAGGTCCGTCGATTTGTTTGGAGATGCTACAGGTCATTGGGTAGTTCTTTAGAAACCACCTGCAAAGGCAAAGAGATGTGAGCCATTTATTTCCTTCAGGGAACTGTCTGCTTGGGCTTCAAGGTTTGAGAGGAAAAAAAATAAGTACCAGGTTTTTGCACCAGAGCTGCAAATTTCTGTACCGTATCTTTTATCACTCATACACGGGTTCCAGGGCCAAAAGTTGCGTGCTCATGGCAAATTAGCCCAAATGCCTTTTTAAAATTACGATACAAATCCAGATCATGAGGACAATTTGGTTAAAGTGGCAAATGCCCTAGTTACAACTTGGTTTGATTACTGTAACATCCTCTACGTGGAGCTGCCTCTGAAAATGGTTTGGGAATTTCAGCTGGTTCAAAATGCAGCTGCCAAACCACTGACTGGGGTCAGTTATAAAGAGCATATAATGTCCCTGACAGAACAACTGCATGGGCTACCAGTCTGTTTCCAGGACTTATTCGAAGTGGTGGTTATTACCTATACAGCTTGGGTCCGCACTAACTGAAGGATTGTATCTCCCCATATGAGCCTTCTTGGCTCTTAGGATCTGCAGGGGAAGGATCTTAGGGGCTGGGAAGACCTCACATGGAGAGACGCACTCCCATTGCCTTTGCAGGCACAGCTGATGGGGACATGAGGAAGGGCCTTCACTGTGGCTTCTCCCACATTATGGAATGTTCTCCCTCAGGGAGATCAAGCTGGTCCCCTCCCTTCTGTCCTTCCACCAACAGCTGATGACCCACCTCTTCAGGCGGACTTTTTATAATGATGATGGCCTTCGGCTTTTCTAAGTTTGCTTCTAAAAGTTTAAAATGTTTTTAATTATTTAATGGTTTTTAAATGACTTGGGTCCACCTGAGCTAATCTGAAATTGCCACAGCTAGTCTACTTACTGGTAAAATGGATGGGACAAGGGCTCCATGGCTGTAACAGGGACAAGGCCTCTCTGATCAGTCAACAGAGATGTCCCTTCCCATTTACTTTCACACCCAATATCTCTCACGTGGACTAGCTCATTCTTATAGAACTTCAGATCTTCCTCCTCTTCTTCTTCTGCAAGGACACTGACCACTGCCCTGGCAAAGAAGTTTCCTGTGCACAGATGGACAGAAAGAAGAAGGGTCAAGGTTCTTGTCAAGCAAAGAGTACAGGGGCATCTACTCTTGTCTTTCCCAAACTGGTGCCCTTAATTTTTTTTGGTCCATAATAGTAATTCTTGTCCACTGCCTTTGCTGGCTGAAACTGATGGCAGCAGTAGTCCAGAACAGCTGGAGGGCAGCAGGTTGCATAAAACCGATCTGTTCCATGAATAGCAATCTTGGTCCTTCAGATGTTATGGGACTGAAACTCCCATCATGCTCCATCACTGGTTATCATGGAAAGGCTGTTAAGAGCTGCGGTCCAACATCTGGAGGGCCATAATTCTCCATTCCTGCTCTATAACAGTGGTTCTCAAACTTGGGCCCCCAGGTGTTCTTGGACTGCAACTTCCAGAAATCCTGGTCAGCACAGCAAGTGGTAAAGGCTTCTGGGAACTGCAGTCCAAGAACATCTGGGAACCCCAGTTAGAGAAGCACTACTCTATACAAACAATCCTCCTTACAATCATACCTCTTCCTGGCAGTTCTGCACCACCTCCAAAGGCTAGCCTAGCAGGTGTGGGAATAAGGTCTTATTTTCTTATAATGCTACAGCGGCAGATATATGTCCCCAAGAAGATTTACTTTGGTTCATTCTTTGATTCTCTTCCAAAACAATAAAATAAGATAGAATTAAATTAAATTAAAAAGTAAAGTCTTTGGTACGATCCAATGGCCAGAATCATGCTTCTTTCAAGTATAGATATAAAAAGACCACTATAGTTGTGGTTACTTTTTCAGTCAATTTGTGTAAGCAAGTATTTACTTTAGACTTCTGCAAGCAGAAATCCCCGGTGACTTGAATGGGTGATCTCTGGCTCCTGCTCCTGTGAGCAAGAACTCATGTGCAGCACAATGCCTGTAGAGGTATTACATTTCACAAATGCTAAGAGGATTCTTCCCAATATAATTTTAAATGGATTGTTCTGTTTTTTTTTTCTCAAGAACTATATTGTTGGGTAGTGATTATGATTTGTAATTTGCTTTGGTTCTGTCTTTTAGTGAAAAGTGGGCAATGAAACTAATAAGTGGGCCAGCTGTACAAATTTCTGGTGGAAATCTCTCCCCTCTCCATGATCATTTTAGAGGATGAGGAGAAGCTCCGCAGAATATTCTTGCTCCTACTTGGATGAATGAATTGGGCTCTAAATGTCACACTGCATATAAATGGAAATACATATTTCTCACTAATGACCCCTTTCCTCCTGCAATGGGATTTCCTCAAAGGTGCATGCTTCAGCAATCAGATTTGCAGATTAAGCCTGTGTTTACTTTCCAGTGAAGAATCAGATCACAATCCTGAATCAAAGTATGCTAAAGTACATGCAAGTGCAAAAAACTACATGCTATGAACAGATGTCTTTCACCACTTGATGGAGAACTCTTCTAAACACTTCTTAGATGTATCATCTTGATTCAGCCTAAAACAGAGGCTTAGAATTTGTTTGCTCTAAGAGGAATCCTTGAAGTGAAAGTCTGTGAGGAAGAAGTTGGACCCTCATATAATGGTGGAAAGGAGTGAATTGTCTGCAGTTAATGTCCTTCCTTCCCATAATCGTTGGTACTTGCACTTTCCATACTGTCCTCTTTTGCTGGAAAGATTCCTCTCAACAAAAATAAAGAATGCAAGCCTGACCTGTCATCAGAATCAGCTCTGGAAATTTGGAATCTAAGTACAGGTATAGATCTATTCTGAAATCCATGATTCTGTTACATCTGCCTCCATCTTTTAAGGAACTACCCTGTCCTTCCTATTCCTCACATTTAGGGGCCCACTGTATGAATATGTAGCATCAATATCAATTCAAATAGGTCGCAAACGTACGTCTAAAGAGATATTAGGGTAGGAGGATAGTTTCACGTTTCTCACCTTCCTGAAGGAGAAGACCAAGATACATGGTGGCCATGTGATCTTCATCTATGGTCACAGTGATCTCTGTGTCCTCCACCAGAGCACAGTTCAGCCAATACTCTGGGGTGAAGAGAAGGTGCTCCAAACAGCAACCTACATAGCCTGATCCATCACAACAAGGGGAGAACATAAGTATGTAACACAGTTCCCTGCTCCGTCCCAAATAAAAATGCAAATACTGAGGTAACCATTTGCTCAGGGAGTACAGTACATCACACAGCTTTAGGTCTAAAAGTGAAGCCCATATATTCCTCAAGCTCACAGGCAAAATGTTTCCAAAGTAGATAGCATTCAAATGACCATAAATATGATTAAACTGCAAATTTCAAAGTAGTAAACCAGTTTTTAATCCCACAAGTTGCTAGTTTAATTAAATAATTAACCATCAACTGAACTAAATTTTCAGTTCTGTTTGCCTACTTGATTACTGTCATTACCTTGACCCAATAACCCCCCTTTGGATCATGATTTCCAGCAATTTCTCATGCATAGCTCTTTCCAGATTTTTTATAAACAGAGAATCCCAGCTACTAACTTGGTCTCTTTTTCCCATCTTCCTCATGGTGTCTTACTGGACACAAAGTCCTGTGACTCCCCAAACCTCATTTTGCCTCCCTGGCTGTTGGCTTTGAGAGATGAGCTGTGTGATAAACTAGATGGTAAAAAGAAAAATGGGAACGAGGCCCACAAACCTCGTGCCTCTTATATCACAATTCTGCTTTAAAAGCCCATGGCAAGATGGCCACATTTAGGGACTGTAGTTCAAAAAGCCTGTAGTCCAAATCCCCCTGCCCCCCAAGTTCTGTTCTCACTATTGCCACACAAAATGGCAGTCAACCTCAGTTTCATTTAGTTACCAAGAGTTAAGTACGTTGAAAACTTCCAGATTTCCTCTATGGTCTTGAAGGAAAGCAAAAGGCGATTCTCCTGAGCCAGGATGCACACCAGTCTGGCTGACAGTTCCTGGCGAGAGAGAGAGAGAGAGAGAGAGACCAAAAAGATGATGAGATTTTCCAGGTGTTCAGCAAAGAAACCCTGAAATAACATTTCCCTTGATACCTCATATTATGAATTATGGTCTTCTTTTTTCCTAATTAGAGTGGCAACATCTGCAACTTCTAGACCATGATTCTATGCCTAATGCTAGGATTAGAGCATAATACAACTCAGTCCAGCCCTACACAGATTATGGATCCATTCTTAAAAATGGAACCTACTACAAAACACTGAAACAGAGTCCTCCTGTTCAGTGTTCCAGCCAGCCAACCAATTAGCCATGACTTCTTTCAGAATAGACCGTTCCATTCCATTCTGCCTTCCTCTTCATTTTCCACTCCTCTTCTCATTGTAAACATAGAGCACCTACTGAGCATACTCAGCTCCTACTGAGTTATTTTTGCCACCTTAATTTTTTTTCCCCTTCAGGACTCCTGCGAGACTACTAATGTCTTCTCCTTAAAGTCATCCTGAAATACTTCTCCTGTGTTATAGCTAGTATTTGGCTGGGACAAAGGAACAGTAGTCACAGACACATGGAATGGCTGAGTTGAAAGGTGTCTATAAGGCAATCGAGTGCGACCCCCTGCTCGATGCAGGGATCCAAATCAAATTGGATAGATGATTGCCCAGTTTTTCTCTTGAATACCTCCAGCGTTTGAGCACTCACCACCTTCTGAGGTAATCGGCTCCATTGTCATACTGCTCTAACAGTTAAGAAGTTTTTCCTGATATTCAGCTGAAATTTGGCTTCCTGTATCTTGAGCCTATTGTTATGTGTCCTGCACTCTGGGACAATCAAAAGTCTTCAGAGCCATGGAGAGTAACAGGTGATCCTGAAACAATCTCTATCCCTTAGCCCAGGCTTGTCCAACCTGCGGCCCGAGGGCCGCATGCGGCCCAGATCAGCTTGTAATGCGGCCCAGTGCAATTTTTTATTTTTAAAGAAATTCCAAAGTTTCAAGTTATACTGCCGACACTTGCGGCCGGAAGGCAGCTGGGGCACGTCACAATGGTGGGGGGGGGAGAGAGGGAAGGAAGGAGCAGGAGGGGAGGGGAGAGGGGGGCTGCGTGACTGCACTGCGCCATCCCCGTCAATAGGTGGACCCCCTTCCAGCCCCATAAAGCCGCGGGAGTCAAAGCTGACAGCCTCTGCTGTCTGAGATCGCAGCTGCCAGTAAGCGTGCTTGGAGCGGGGCTGTGGAGGACGGCTAGGGCTGCCCCCCCCCGCGGCCCAAACCAAATGTATGTGCGGCCCAAACCAAATTTTCATCTTCTAATGTGGCCCAGAGAAGGTGAAAGGTTGGACACCCCTGCCTTAGCCTATATCTACCTCACATGATAATAGAACAAGAATGATGAATTGTGCATAATATCCTGAGCTCAAAGGATGGATAATATGTTTTGAAAATGTTTATATATAAATGTTTATAAACATTTATATATAAACATTTTCAAAACATATTATCCATCCTATATATTAAACATGGCCATATTTTCATCCTATAGGCTTTGTGAACAGCTCTGATTGCCATACCTTGCTGTAGTCACGTCAGTATCTAATATAGTGATAAGTGTGGCAAAATTAGTAAAAGGAGATGATAGCACATCACTGTATGGTTTATGCAGCACACCAAAGAATGCAAAGAGGAGCCACAGATCAGTGCTAGAATACACATTTTGCATGAAGAAAATCCCTGGTTCAAGCCCATTGTTTTAAATGTAAACAATCTCAAGCAAAAAGTCTGTGAACAACTTCTGCTTGAGATAATGAAGAACTACAGCCAATCAGAATAGGGATTACCTGGACAAGATGAACCAACGCTTTAACTTGCTGGACAGAATCCTATTGGGGAATTCTGCAAGTGGAATTGCATAAACTCTGGCAGTGAATAGCTGCTTATTAATGAGTTCCTACTAGCATTCCTGGCTGCACAACAGTTGCATGACTTTGTGTGAGACCAGAAATTTTTAACTGCAATTCAGTTAGGCAATTTAGAATCACAGTTCACACAATTAACGTACTCCACTGTAAATCCCAAATAGGATTCAGGCCATTATCAAAAAATTTTCAAACAATATGACAACAGAGTTACCTTGAAAAGAGCACAGACATCTTTGTCATCATTCTCCAGGGCCCACAGTTTCTTTCTTGCTGCTTCCTGAAGCTGAGGATTGATGCTTTGTCCAGAACGACTCTTGACAGAAAATGTGAGGGAAATCTCTTCAAAATGAGAGGGGGGGCAATTAAAAGAGGGATAATGCTATATATATAGTAGCTCTGAACAACTTTTCAGCCCCAAGAGCGGTATCAGCTGTAGGGGACTCAGCACTATACATATGCATGTAAATGTACAATATGCACCTGCACCCTCCTACTTACTTGCACATATATACACTGTGATGGTAGGAATGTTCAAGACTTCTGGCATGGAATGAATCCCTATCCTAGTAATTTAGCTGAAGAGGGCTGGCAGGGATGAAAAAGGTTTAGATCAGATTCCAGTGGCCACACTACTATTAGCAGCACAAAAACAGCCAGTTCCAGTCAACTCAGGATCACATTGAAGGGCAGGAAAGTGGCTAGATCCTCTCGCCCTCCCCTTCCAGCAAGACCAATCAGTTTTTTATTCCAATAATGGGGCAGAAGCACTGATCCTGACACCTCTGGGGTTGTTGCTCCCCAGCCACCTTCAGTAGGGCAAGAACAGTCCTTCTTTCCCATGATCCTAACTGCAAAAATTAAAAAAAAACAATAAACAGAGATCCAACAGTGAGAGAGGGGATCACCTGCTAAAGAGGGGTACAGATAAGGCCTGGAGGACGCATGCAGCTCTAAGATTGGAAATCTTCTGATTTAAAGCTCTCATGCACTGTTCCTTTTCTCACTCCTTCTGTGAGTTTGGCTGAGAGCATAAAGACAATAGATCTAGAATGACTGCCATCTATGAAGCTGCATCGTACATAGGCAGATATACTGTAGGATTGAAAACTCTACCTACTGCTACATGCCAAACACTCGAAAGATGGCTTTAGGGTTTCGTTGGGGACAAGCTCCATATTGCAAACAACAGATGTCTGGGGAGAAAAAAAATTAGGTGAATTTAGAGTCCCAGAATGGGGGAGAATACTGTACTTCAGGGAAGGTTCTCCAGCAGTATTTACACTGTGGCATCTGTCACTTTGAATCTTTCACCTCTTACAGAAGACTCATGCAAAGAGCAGTTGAAATGTACTCAGTAAACAGCACTGAAAATACTAAATACTTCAGTTTAATTAATTTCTGTGACCTTTCTCTCAGTTAACAGACAGACTGTGCTTATTTCTGAAATGCCTGCCAAGGCCTAACCAGGACATGTGAAATTACAGCAATACAATACTTGACAAAACCAGCGTAATATACTTTGTACAGCAAAACATTTTTTCCACTACCTCCCCAAAGCAAACTACAAAGGCAGTATACCCTACACTGAGGCCACCCAGGCTGGCTTCTTTTCTACATCTTTGGTGGTTATTGTAGACAATTAGAAGAGATTAATGTGCTACTTATCTCAGGTTGCTTCTACCTCAATGGTCACAAACAGAAACCTCTCCCCCTCTCCTAATCACCTCTCACCACCACTCAGAAACACTCCTTATCACGATGTGCCCAGCATTTTTAACATAACCTTTCTCTGTAACTAAACTCAGAGGAAGTTCCCACAAGGGGAATTAGTGGCTGTTTGAGAGCATCTACGAGGAAATGCTTGCTGTCCTTTTAGATCATGGCATATGCCTCCCAATAAATGTAAATATTTACATACAAACTCTGAATGATTACTAGATGACAGAAAGATGTTGGACAGAAGACATTGGTCCATCACTTGACCCTTCTTGCAGTCTTCAGAACGGATACCTAGAATGTCTTATAAACTCTCTTCTTGTTTTGCCTGTTTTCCTGTTGGTATCTTATTAATCTTAATCTTTCAGCAGTGCAGAAGCACTTCAGTGGCCATACCTCCTCTAGAGAGATAATGCTGAGTCTTCTCTCTCTTGCCTGCTCTTTCTTTACAGATGTTAAAAACACATAGCAAAAATTAAACAAAAACTTACCATTCGGGAACCCTTCCCCTACAGCCAGTGATACGGATTCTGTTTCCAGTGTGCCCTCTCCTATCTGCACAGGCTGACTTCCTGGATCCAATTCCCTGGGATAACCTGAGAAGCCATCATGCAGGCAGAAGGACCACTGTCAACCTCTTTTTAAAAGAAGAGGTAAAGCAAGGGCATAATATATGGGGACCCCGGGATATAAAAGGGGCTGCCAAATGCCCAGATCAATGGACAGTCAAGTCCAAAGATAGTAATTTTGAGTGACAGCAGTTCCCCAAGACCTCTACAAGCTCTTTCCTAGCCTGTGACCTTTTTAACACTGTGTTTCCAAGCACCCCCCCACCCTTGTAAGGTTCTAGGACTATGTCAATTGGCAAGGTCGAAGGCAAGAGACATGAGGTTCCCAAAGTAGGGGCAGCCCTACCATTAGGCAAGCAAAACCCTCTGCCCCAGACAGCAGATTTTAGCTGTCATGAAAAGGGAGCACACTACCCTGTTTCCCTGAAAATAAGCCCTAACCTGAAAATAAGCCCTCGTATGATTTTTTTCAGGATGCTTGTAATATAAGCTCTACCCAAAAAATAAGCCCTAGTGAAGTGAAACCCTGCTCTCCACCATTGTGCAGCAACCAGAAGATGACAGAACTGTATTTGAATAAATGTAGATGGTTGTACATGGAAAAAAATAAAACATCCCCTGAAAATAAGCCCTAATGAGTTTTTGGAGCAGAAATTAATATAAGACCCTGTCTTATTTTCAGGGAAACACGGTATTGTTTATTTTTTATACTATTACTCTATTTTTAGTGTTGGGAATGGGGAAAGGGGTCCATGGGAATTTCTACCCACACTTCTCATAGTGACTGGTTTCGGCTACTACGCATCTTGATTTGAGTGAGACACAGGTGAACACCGTGTGCTGCTCCACCTGAGGCAGCAAAATATCTTTGGCAAGACTCGTTCAGTGGCTTTGGGCAAAAGCCATGATTTTTCCTTGCTTTTATTACTGAACCTCAGCCGGGACTTTATGCTTATTTTTCCATTCTTCGTTTGGAAATTACTGTATTTTTCTGTTTGTAAGATGACCCAATGCATAAGACAACTCCCCCTTTTCTAACCCCCAAATTAGAAAATTTGCACAATCGCACCCCTTTGGTCCTGAAGCCCTTCCATGGCTGCTTCAGGATCAAAGGGGTGCAATCCTGCCATTCTTTCACGGCTGCTTTACCCTGTGGCTTCGTAAAAGGCAGGGAAAGCTGCTGCCTTCCGTGTATAAAATGACCCTCAATTTTTTGTCCAATTATTTAAGTAAAAAGTGTCATTTTCAACATGGAAAAATATGGTATTTATTTTATTTATTTATTTTATTTAGTAATAATGTTTTGTGGCAATTTCCATGTTCATGGAGAAGTGGAATGGAAGACAACTAGCAGTATAAAGGAACAGATAGATTTATTTATCCTCAGACCTCTGGTTTCACTACCAACTACTTGGGGAAGGTGCATGGTTTAAGTGTACTTCCCAGTTAAAGATTTGGGAAGCAAAGTGAGTCTCACTTACTTAAGCAATCTTTTGGAAACTAAACTAGTCATAGCTGCTAAAGGTGACTGAAAAAACCTTTTAATGCAGTGGTTCCCAAACTTGGGTAGCCTAGATGTTCTTGGACTTCAATTCCCAGAAGCCTTCACCATTAGCTGTGCTAGCCAGGAATTCTGAGAGTTGTAGTCCAAGAACATCTGGGGATCCAAGGTTGGGGACCACTGTTCTAGTAGATGGTGGCTGAGGTGGTTTTGGTTGTTGCAGTCCTTGTTTTCAGTTGCTGTCTATTTATTCTGACATTTTACTATAGGTTTCATGTAAGGCACCTTGAGCAAAGTGCAGAGGTTCAGTAAAAATGTTTTCAGCAAACAAAAAGACAGACCAAGTAGGAAATCAATCTGGAGTCAAGGTGTGTGTGTGTGTGTGTGTGTGTGTGAGAGAGAGAGAGAGAGGGTGAGTGAGTAGTCTGAGAGAGAGAGAAGATTCCTGAGAGCATATGTTCTATGACTACAAGCTCCACAGACATCTCTCTATAAGGAGAGTGCCTGTCCTCAGCAGCTTCCCCAGAGCTTCTGAGAGTTCCTTTTTTACTTCTGTGCTGATCTAGGTAGCAACAGGAGTCTGTATAAACCACCAAAGGGAAAAGGGTCCTCCTCATTACTTCTGTACTTAAAGACAAGGAGTAGATTTGCATAAGTCTTTGCTAATCCATTGTATGAGAGAAGTTGAAACATGCCATAACCACTGAAAAAAAATCTAGCAAAGTGCACACATAAAGCACAGTTATAAAGCTAATGGGCTCAGGAAATTTAGGCACTAACTACCGTATTTTTCGCTCCACAAGATGCACCTTTCCATAAGACGCACCAATTTTTTAGGAGAAGAAAACAGGAAAATATAATCTGTTTTCTTCGCTCCATAAGACGCACAGACCTTCCACCCCCATTTTGTGGGGGAAAAGTGTGTCTTATGGTGCGAAAAATATGGTATATTAATGATGCCCCAGGTTTATTAAAACACAAATCCACTATGCTATTTGCTAGTTGTGCCAGGCTGACAGACAAAATGTATTCTAAGTACTAGCTATACACAATGGCATTCTTTTATAAGTAGGTTTACTTAAAACGTTACTACTTCACTAACAGCTTTCCTAGTCTATTTGGAACTGTAAACCATATTATAACTACAAAGAAAATATTGTCCTCTACCAGGCTTTCCAAACAAGTAAATGAAGTCTTCCCCTTCTTTTTGCTTTCTTTGTAGAGATTTGCAAAGCAGGCCCACTCTTTGAATTTTACACATTGGCTAATGAAAAAACATAACAGATTTCTTCCAACCTGTGAAATGAGCAAGTGATAGTCCCCGGAATGCAAACATTTACTACAGCTAACAGCCACACATGAGCAATGTTAGTGTAGTCTCTCTTGACTTATTATCAACCCTTTGGCACCTCCTAGAAAAGAAGAATCTCAACAGACCCAAGAACAAAGACAAAAGCCATTCTGAACTGTGAGTTTAGAGGCTTCTTCATTTTTTATGTGATCACCATTCTGGTCACAGCTAAACTGGAACAAAGACAATAATGCTAGGAAAGTTTAAAGCAGCAGAAAAGGATGAAGAGTAAATATGAGATGGATTGAAGGAAGCCATGTATCTGTGAAGATTCTCAGTCATCCAGGTGAGGTTATCTGGAAGTTGAGTCATGGCAACTGGACTTCTTTCTTGTTAGGTTGAAACATTTCGCTGCTCATCCAAGTAACTTCTTCAGTCTGAAGAGAGTTGGTAGGAGATCCCTGATATAGCCACCACATTGGCTTCACTTCCCCCTCGTCTGAATAAGCTTGCTAGAAGGACAAGTGATGGGGGGGTGACAGATAATCCCACTTGTGCAGTCCTTCTCCACCCACTGTCATGGGTTGTTAACAGTTGTTAAGAGTGGTCTTTCTGGTGTGTGTGGTAATCTTTCTAGGGATGGATGAAAGGGCAGCATGATAAATAGGAGACAGGTTGTATCTAAGGCCTCAACCCCTGGTGAGCGAGGGATTTTCTATATGCACATGTATGTCCTCAAACCAAAGTGAGTACATCTTGGTCATCCAATGAGTGTCCTTTGTCCTTCAAACGAAGGAACACTGCTGATTCAGGTCCTGAGCCATTGCCCCTCCATTATTCTCCTGTTTAGTCTGGTCTTGAGTTTGTAAGGGCTAAACTGGGCAGAGCTAAACTGGACATTTTGGAGGTCACTCACTCATAAGGTGACCATAGAGGCAACAGCCTGCTCTAAAGTAGGCTTTCAGATTCATTCTACAGTGCAACCTCTACCAGAAAAGGGCACCAGAACAGTTCCAGATTAGCCACAATGGAAAGTACCTTCTTTTCCATGACTGATACACACTTCTGAAGAGAAAACAAGGCTTTGTTTTCATAGAACATACCTGATGCCATTTTTGCATCTTGGAGACATCTTTCTCGCGTTTCCTCTGAGGGCTGCTGAAGATTGGACCAACTGGCCAGGAACACAGGTTGGACAGAGGAACAAGACGATGATTCGTCACCTGATGGAATGCATGGAGCCAGAAAGCAGAGGAGATACAGTATGGGATAAAAGCATATATTAAAGACTACAAAAAATTCAAAAGTGTCCTATTCCTGCACATAAAAAATGACAGAAACAAGGAAATCAGTTCCTCTTCAACGCAATCAATGGGCTCTCTTGCTCCCTCTCTTATTGCAAGTTTCACAAGATTTTTTTGGCTAAGAAGATGCAGGGCATGACTCTGCCAATCATAATTATTTAGCTATTCTTTTTAACCACAACTGCCTTTAAAGAGGGAACTGGTCTGTTTATCTAAATGAACTGAAACTAGTCTCAGGGATAGCACAAGCTATTAGAAGCAGCTCCTGCTGAAATTGGTGCTTAATGTTAAAACAAGATGTTATCTTCGCTTCTTGTAGGATATTTGCAGAAGGAAGGTTGCTGAGTATCCATGGTTTTGGTTTACTATTTGACCACACACCAATTAAAAATTAACAAAGATTTAGAGGGGAAAGAAGGAGTGAGTGCCTGTTGGTATTTCAGACTGACATTTGCCTAAAAACTGTGTTACTGGTTAATTTACACTTGGTCACAGTACCAGCTGATGGCTTGAAGTTGAATGCAACAACAGACTTTAGAGAAAAGCACAGGTGCTGAGGTGGTATGGGGTAACACACGCAGGCAATCACAACGTTGAACCCCTGTGGATGTCACCCTTGTAGTCTGGGAGCTACTGCATTCATGGCTCCTCTTGGTCATGCTGCTGTGGTCTCTTCAATGCCCCAAATCACACATAAAAGGACTTCAGACCCCTTCCCATGCCATTTATTCTTCTTCCGAAAACTATGGCAATGCAAGTAAATGAAAGAGACATGTCATGGCATTTCCCATATCTACAAGACTTCTGAGAGCACCCAAGGGACACAGAAAGGCAACAAAGCAAAGCTAACACCAGAACAGGCTCCAGATGTTGCTATCAAATGATGAACCTATTCCAATTTAAATCATTACCTGATCCAAGTCTTAATTATTGGTTAAAGTGAAATAAAAGACAGAGGAAGCAGTATTGTGCCTGTTTCAATACTGTTCAGAAATAAAAGAAGTAAATGATTGATCACATACAATGTTTAATTCAGAAATAATTATGGATCAACAACAAACACAGCATCTATCCTGTTCTCTAATCTGGATTGCTGATAGCTGACTTGCATGTTCAGCTTTCATTAAAACAAGGTGATTGCCACTACCCCAGCATTTCTCAGATTATTAGTACGAACCTTCCTCATCAAGAAAATATTAGCAACTGAGTCTTCCCCATCAAGGCAAAGTGAGGATCACTGTCTTACAACCATAAACAGGATGCCCTAGAATACCACATCTTACCACAATGCAATGAAACTGAATTGTTCTACTGACAAGTTCCTGGACATTGATGGCATGTAATTATTACAGCTGGCTAGAGTTCAGTGAGTTGGAACATACGAGTTGGGAGATTGATTCATCACTGTGCTCTCATTCTGCCTCTTGGGAGAACAGCCAGCCTTTGTACCCTTGGGCAAGCTGCACAGTCCCAGAGTACCCCCACAAGAAAGGAATGGTAAACCACTTCTGAGTATTCTCTGCCTAGAAAACCCTGAGAAAAGTTGCTATAAATCAGAACTGACCCGATGGCACACAATAATTTTAAATACAATATAAAATACAGTGGTGCCTCACAAGACGAAAGTAATTCATTCCGCAAGTAGTGCTGTCTTGCGAAATTTTTGTCTTGCAAAAAGCAGTTTCCCATAGGAATGCATTGCAATGCATTCCTATGGGAACCTCACAAGACGAAAATAATTCATTCGTCTTGCGAGGCATCGGTCTTGCGAAAAACATTCATTTTGCGAAGCACTGCCATAGAAGAAGCCGTCTTGCAAGGCACCACAGCGATCGCAAAAACCATTCGTCTTGCGGGTTTTTCGTCCCACGAGGCATTCGTCTTGTGTGACACCACTGCACAGCATTATCAGCACACATGCTCTGCAAACTTCATTATAATTTTTAGAAGCCTGGAAGGGGAAAAGACAGAAATGGCTCACACAGTGTATTCTCCACAAGGAAGCAATAAAAACCCAGTATCGCAGATATACATTGGGGCTTTTATTTATTTTATTTAGAACATTTTCCCCACCTGTCTCCTTAAAAAGAATCCAAGGCTGCTTACATCCCTGAATAACAGTATTTAAAGCTGAAAACAATGAGTATACAACAGTGGGTTACATCATTAAAAGACAATATTTTAAAGCGAAGAACAGTGAGTATAAAGAGGCAACTTACATCATTAGAAGAGTATTATTAAAGCTAAAACAATGCAAATACTAAAAAGGAACAAAAAAATACCACTCTGAGAAACGTTAAACACAAATAGTACAAAAGACCAGTCAAAGCAGCAATGCACAACAATCCATCTAAAAGTCACTCATGTAGCCAGCCATGTGGCCAGTCACTCCTGTAGGCAGTCGTTGAGGGAAAGCGGGCCTGAAGAGAAAAGCCTTTGCCTTGCTCCGAAGGACGGCAAAGGTGGGGCCAGTCTGGCCTCCTGTTTTACCCTATCAACCCCTTAGATACTGATGAAAGCACAAGAAACAAAAGGGAGATAACAGTCTTTTTAGATGGTAGTCTGTATTCAGTCTTACTGTATTGGGTTACTTAGCTACACATGCCAAGTTAAAAAGTCCAGTGGAGCAGCACACACACAGGGTCAAGAAAAGTGATGGGCTCTTGCTACAAGGAAGCTACGGACAACTCACCTGCAGGCCACAATGAGAATTTCTTCTGAAAAGGGCAACCAAAACAACAACCCATGTGTTTACCATCCCATCCAGCCCCCAAACCAGCAGTTTTCTTTCAAGAAGCAGCAAGCCGAGACCAATATAACTTTCCACCGTATCAAGTACCCTGCTGGTTGCTAGAAAGCAACCTCTCAATGAGCACAATGCATCTTTTGATGGCTGCCTTGCCTTGGGAAGGTGGGAGGTGTGGCCAGTCTGTCTACCCAACTTGTGGTAGCTGCTTAGTGCCAACTCTTCAAGCCCAATGGCTTGCCTCTCCTCCACGCTGCCTTTTTAGATCATATCACAGATGCCAGGCAATACATTCTTGGCATTCTGTGCTATCGTGGGTGGTGCAGAAAAGTCCTGCACAAGACAAGCTTGGGTTCTCCACAAAGACAGGCATGGAAAACCCAGATGTCTGGGAGGCATAAAATGGCTTATTATGCAAATGAGGTACACTATGTATGCAAACCCCATCCCCTGCAAATCTAATTTTGCCCCCTGCTGTAGAACTGAAAACAGCAAGTGAAAAGTTAAAGTAGAAAGCTAGCCACTACTACACCACACTAGGTATCCAGTCTCTGCCCTCTTTTTTCCTACCATTCATTTATTAGAGATGTGTACGTCTATTTATTAATATTACCTAGCTTTTCAATTATCAGAGTGCACACTCAAAATCATCCCTGTTTTCTCAAGAGTAATTCACCAAGGAAAGAGCCACACACATAAAAGCCATCAGTCCTTGCTGCTCACTTGCAATCACAGATGCAGATAAAATGACAAGCAAATCACATCATTTTATTATTATTACTATTACTATTAAATTGTACAAATCACATCATTTTATTATTATTATTATTACTATTACTATTAAATTGTACTTCTTATTTCTCAGCATTCTCTGGTACATAGGGTGGACCAATGAGTCAAGCTTAAAAGTTCAGTCTTTAGAAGTTACAGGCCAGACGTTTGCAAAATAACTGATTTTTTTTAAATTTCAGAAAGCAAAGTAGCAGCTATTGGCAATTGTTTTGAATTGGTAAACAAAGATTCTGGAACCATTCTCACGGTTGAAATAAGTATGAGGAAGAGGGTAACCACATCCCATTTCCATATTCTTTTAACTTCTTGCCTTAATGTTTGGTACTTCTTGCCTAAATGTTTGCATTTTTTTGTACTTTCTATACTATAGAGGCTGCTTCTTAAGAGAACTCCAAGTTTTACAAGGTATGTTTTTCCTTGTTGCTTATCCAGAAATATAACATCCAACTTCTAAAAATCAACTGTTTTATTTGTGATAACTTACTTATCCCAATATAGTATTTCAATATTGCTTTCTAAAACTAGAAGTGGCTGGAATTCATAATATGTAGGAAAAGATGTGAATAACTTGCAAGACTTTGTTGATTGCTGAAACAATGCTCTTTGCAATTTGATTGTGCCTATACATATATCTGTTGATGCTATCTTTGGATATGCAGCTTTGATATGAATTGCTTCTTTGTAACAGGCCCTGGACATATCACTTACAGCTTGCTTTATGTTTTTTTTATAATACCTAGTGCAAATAACTTGATATTCTACTGTGCATCTGAAGCCCTCAGTTTCAGCCTGCAGAGAGCCTAATTAAAGCCACGTATTTTATTGTTGCTTATCCACATTATCATCCAGGATCTACCTATTCATGCAGTGTTCATATCATTTAGTATTATTCATAAAATATTTATAAGAACAAGCTACCCCTTCTGGTTGATAAGAAATATAAAAACTCAAATCTTCAGATGTGCAATATATTGATTAGGACCAAGGCAAAGGTCAAAAAGTTGTACAACCTTTTGAGTTATCCAGAAATCTTCATCCGGACCTGGGCAAAATGTGGCCCTCCAGATGTTGCTGAACTGCAGCTCCCAGCAATCCTCACTACTGGCT